TTGTGTCGTGTCTGCACCACATTTTAGCATTTATCATTATTCTGTAATTGTCACTGGTGGCCACAGTGGCCACTGTTCAGCAAACGTTACATGGGCTTTAAAAGTGTTTAGATCAGACTGGGTCAATAAACAGTTGTTACAACAAGTAACTAACTGAATATAAAAAAGGAGCTAATTGTAAATGGTCTGCTGAGTGGTTTTCTGAGGTAAAATTAATCTGTGAAATTAAACTGACCGCTCACCAAGCAGACTAAAAAAAGCCATTGTCTGGGCTATTTCTTAAGTTGTCAATGTTTGGTCTTTGGCATTATGAGAGAAGTATCAGAGGTAAGATGGACAGCAGCACAATATCTGATCCAATATCCCCATGTAAGCCTGTTCATCTTTGACTAATCATAATCAATAAAAGTTTTAAAACTTTGAAGTAATAAAGACTGAAACAGTAAGTGAACAGAAGTACATTAAGTTTGGGTCAAGGCAGCTTTTCTGCACTGATGTGGAGAACAGGCGAGGACATTCACCCTCTAGAGATGCAGAGGACGTAAAAGACTCAAGGAAGGTATTATCTAATGTCCAATTACACTCCCACGCCCCCCCCACATCCTCTCCTCTGTCTCTCTCTCCTCTCTCTACCTTCCTGCCTCCCACCTTCCTTCCCTCTCCTTAGTATGAAGAGGACACAAGTGATAAACCAGGAGCAGAGAGCCGGTGGTTTACATGGCCCTGGAGCCCATTATGTTCCCCACAATAGGCTGGAGGCCTGGACGTGCTGTGAATAGGTAATGGCCTGGAGATCCTGAGCCTGGCCTGCTGCTCAATGAGCCTGAGACAGCCGAGCAGGAGACGGGCATTAGAGATACCTCGTCAGCCCAGTATGGAGCAGTCTGGTCATAGCCGGGGGGGAGGCAGGGGAGGATGGGAGAGTGGGAGTGAGTGAGAGGAGTAGGAGGTGTCGTAAATGCCCCTTACATAAGGTAGGGCATGAATAATAACACAAAGGGAATATTCAGAGCCAACTGTAAGGCAGGGATCTGGTTTATTGGCACAGATATATGGGCCTATAATGTACAATATACATAGAAATCAGTACAAACTTGATTTTAAAACGCGATGTAGTCTAGAAGCCGCGTTTGCACTACACTGTACCGTTCTGCTGCTCACTTGCTTCAAACCCCACCTTCCCAAGTTAGCCATCCATTCAAGCAATCTGTACCTAATAACCGCAAGGTTTAGCCCATGATGAAGATCTGTCTTCATTGAGCTGGAAAAGCTGTAGCGTCGCCGAGCATTTTTCCTAACGGCGCAGTCCCTCATCTATGAAAGTGCCATAGAGCCCCTCAGACAATTAGGCAGGGAAAAGCTTTATGACCGTTAGACTCACTCAGTGAGCGGCACTCTCACCGCCAGCACCGCCAGGAGCGCTGGCTCGTGCAGAAAGGTAATTATGGAGCCTCTCATAATGACACGGAGGAAGCTTGCGTCATAACACCCACAGCCTTTTATCATAGCGCTGTAATTAATTATCATCCTTTACTCTTTGATTCATTCCACTATTCATAACATATTCATACATTCAAGAGAAATTATCATTTCCTTCAGGAATTAATCAAAAGGAGGAAGAACTGGTCGTCTCTCGATGGATGATCAAAGACGGTGTTTGTCTACCTCGCTGCATGGCGAGGGCGAGCTCTGGGCAAGGCACTGCGGGCAAGGTCTCTGAAAACACTGACACCCTCTTCTACTGAACGACTCTGGTCAAATCATCCTGCAAGGCGCTTCACACAACTGGATTAAGGTTGAAAACACAGCTGCAGATGTTTCTGATAAGTGAGAGGTAAATGGATATGACAATCCAAACAACCACTATGACTGCTTATTTCTTCATCCTGCAACGTACTCTGACAAGGTAGGTTATAAAAAGATAAGGTGACATGATCTGCTCTGTTCAACAAGGAGTGTACAAGCTCACTAAATTTGGTTTTCATATTGCCTTCTCTCTACTTTTCATGAACGTGACAAGTCAGTCGTATAGCTGAGGAGCAGCAGCCATTTTGAGACCTCTTCACTCAGTTTCATGGAGTTGAAAAGCTGCTGTATAGTCAAAATACCTCCCGTGCTCTCATAGAAAACAAGCAACAACAACATCATACATAAAAACATTGTCTTCCCCCACATCATCACTTCCCAACCTCAGGGGAAGAAATGGCACAGTTAGACTCATAAACAGGTGTCCACCGGCCCCCAGTTTGCAGCGCTTTAATAGCTGTTTGATGTTTTTGATGTCTAGTCAGCTCGATCGTACCTTGCTGCTTGATAATGAGGGCCAATAATGATTCCTGAGCTTGAGGGGTTAATGGTATGTAACCGGCAGAGCTGCTAATTACACGTTACAAACTATTTATCAGAATCTCCATCTGCGCAAGCACCACAACTCTCATTGTGCACGCTAAATTACTCCACGGATTATCATTGTAAAGCAAGTTTCAGTAATTAGGGACCCATACTGCTGTTTTCTTTTTCTGAGAGCACCAAACGACATCAAGAGGAGAGGAGAAAAATAGAATGACTGGTTAATTTGGGCCTGATATTCAGATTGGTAGAGGCCGGATGTGAGCAGGAATCTGCCTCTGTGGAAGAAAAAAAAGGATACAAAGATTCAAGAAATCTGTCACTGTTTTTTTTTTTCTTTTTCTGCCTCACAAAAGGTTTATCCTGAGGGGAGTTTACACTCTAAAGTGAGAGGGAGGTGTAAATTGCATTGAGAAGCCCACATAGTCTTGGTGAGACTTGGTGAAGGCTGTTTTCTGTACGTTCAGATGGTAGCGAGATCTTGTGTTGAAAGTTGTGTGAACAGTGTGGTCCGACGGGCCTGTCTCTCCAGCGATCGGTTATTTGAGAAATAACTGTCATATCCCTCAGCCCCAAAGGTGTGCCTGAGACCATGGAGACATGTACCATCTCCTCTCCTTCGCCGTAAATTTTTATTAAAATTACCTTCATTATAAGACAGTGTTCATTATAAAACCAAAAACGCCGGTCTCCCAGGGCCCTGTGGATTAATAAGGACAGCGGTGTATTTTAAGCCGTAAACTCAGCTCCTCACTGTCCTTAATCTCCTTCCTACTTCACAAGGCCAAATTAACACCTCTCCTCAGCTCTGACGGGACCTCATTAGCAAACTTCCAGGGAAAGAAAGAGGAGAGCAGAACGAAAAAGAGGAGAAGAAGGAGGGAAGCGACCAATGACAGCCACCAGCTCTGGGATTAACCCTTTCTCCTCCTCCAGCTCCGCGGAAAAAAACTAGGTCGGCAACGTGTTTCTAATCAGTCGCCTGGTTAGCGATAATTAGAAGGCGAGATTGGACGGGAGAAGAGAGAGAAAGTGGGTGGGGAACATTGAAATGAAAAAGAAAAGAAAGAGAACCTGTCATGTCGCAAACACTTCAAAGGAGCCGACTTCTCCTTTAGAAGTGGCATGATGAGGGTCCAAATACCATGAGGCACTCCTCTGGGCCTCCGAACTGGGAGGAGGGGAGGGTGGAAGCAAGGACCCAGTTCTTTCTCACATATATGCATCCTCACAAAAACACACACACACACACACACACACACACACGGAAGGACTTTTCTATCGTTCACCACCTGTACAGTGCAGCTGCAGGGGAGCTTTAGTCTATCCCAAACCACACAGCCAAACAAGCACATCCAACTCCACCTTCTCCTCACATTCTCCCCCCTGCAGCAGCAGGTCGAGGTCCCACAGCTTACACTGAGGTCGTGAAGACTACCGCTGGGTAAAGTTCACAAGCCTCCGCAAGCTGTTTGACATTACCAATAAGGTCAAAGTGTATCAGAAAACACCAGAGGATTATATTATTATGGTGTGCCGAGTTGCTCGCTGCACCTCCGGATCAAAAAAAAATTGCTGAGGCTTTTTCCACCACAAGCTGGCTTACTTATCAATGTGCAGAACGTTAAGCCTGTGGAAGATACACAAGAGAGACCAAGAGGTACCCAGAGAGGCCTGCAGCTAACAAGAAAAAAAAAAAAAATCATCGCTCATTATCAGCCATCTATTTTATCTACTATGAAACATCTCTAGACTCCCAGTTGTCAGACATCAATGGTGCTTAAATTAATCCTGTGGGTTCCTGTTTGCACAATAAAGATATGGAAGGGTGCTTCTGATATTTGTGCGACTTTACAGTAGAGTAATTGAATTAGCACACAAATCAACCACGGAGTATTGCGGAGTGTGGTATTGAAGAATGTGATAGCTTCTGCCAGGGAGCACGGTTGCTTGGGCATAGTCAATTATAAAGCATTAAAAAGAATCTGCCAATAATCACTTCCAAGAGAACTGAACAATCCATGCTGAGTGTTCTCATGTTTACCGATGATAGGGCTTTCAGGTTAGCGCTGAGCGGGAGTTTAGGAGGGGAGAGCGAGACTGAAAACATATTTGTGGTATCATTTCCATAAGCCTCTGCTTTGCGGACCATAACGCAGCTCACAAATGTGATTTATGACCTTGGTTTAATGGCTGGAGCAGAGTCTTGGTAGGTATCAGATGACTTTTTCAATATGGCGACGTCAGAGGGGGCACGGTGAATGCACCATCACAACAGGAAATGAGGGCTTGTCTCAGCCAAGAAAATATGAGAAGCCAGATATCTGATCATCTAATGGCAGATAGATGCTACTTCACTTTGACAGAAAAGGCATCAGTCAATAAGCACCAGATGAGCAGTAAGACGAAAAGCATGCCATGGATTCCTCACCCTATCTATCAAATCATTCATTCCAGAGGCACAGTCATCTGCTCTGGTCAGTGTATATATATTATCCAGCAGGAGTGTCTCTTGTTTCAGTAAATTATGATGTTGGGAAATCATGAATAAAGATGCAACAACTACTTTGCTGTTTCAAGACTTTCTATGTTTTATTCTGCAGAATCTGAAACTGTTTCACACGTCTGTAAAATGCAAACACGTGACTCACCTGGGCCTGGAAACTCTTGAGAACAGGTGCCACCATCTCCCGCACTTCCTATGTATAGACAAAAAAGTAAACTCAGTCTCAGCATTTTCTATTTTGCAGACGCTCCACCTGTTTAGGAATCAGATTGGCCCCACTGAGGCACAAACAGCTCCATAGGAAAGACGACTGAAAATCTTTAATGTTAATGGATTCTTTCCATAGCTCCTCTTGCACTGTGTGTGTGTGTGTGTGTGTGTGTGTGTGTGTGTGTGTGTGTGTGTGTGTGTGTGTGTGTGTGTGTGTGTGAGGTATGTTGTTATGGGGTATGGGTATTAGTGGTTAAACCTAAAGGGTTTGAGTGGGCATGTTTGAAAAGTGGGGCTTTCCAGTAGCTCGCGTTAGAGCTCAGAGATCCAGACTAGTGCGAGCTCACACAGCCTCAGGTAAGGGGATTGTGCTGCCAGTGGTGACAGCCTGATCCTGTCTTAAACGCCTGTATTATACTGACAAGATTACAGCACTACACTACATACTCGGGCTGAGATAGGCAGGCAGCGTAGCCACAGCAAATAGCCCGAGGGCTCATTTATAAAATATAAAAATATTCTCTTTGACTTCAGCTTAGATGTCAATGGATGATCATTTCAAAGATGATGATAAAAAGGGACAAAATCATATCTGTATCATTCATAGATTTAGCTTTTCATGAATTCAGTTCCATCCTTATTTGCCATTTTGCCTTACAAAAAGTAAGGTTGAATGAGGTCTTGGCACATTCTATACGTAAAGCAGAAGAAAATGAAAAATCAACCACAGTGATGCACAGACGCCAAACATAAAATGCGGTATTAAAAATAGTAGGGTAAGTCAAATAATAGATAATGACACGTGAAATTTTGTATGCTGTTAAAGTGTTATTACTGTTACGGTATTAACAATAAAAAGTCTGCTTATTAATTGATCAGTTGCAGTTGTCAGGTACATAAAATGTTAACTTGGGTAACAGAAGCAAAAAGAAATTCTCATTTAAATTCAGTATAAACTTTGGTGTTAAGTCCTGCTCAGGGAGGTGGAGTAATAAAGGATGTTGCTCTAAGCAGCACCATTTACATGTGTACTTAGTTGTTTTGTCAGATATAGAGTAACAAATAAGGGAAGTAAGACAGGGAATTTTGTCCTAAAAAAATGAAGATATCCACTTCATTTGGCTAACTCAGACTGCTGAAGCTTCATATTTGCTTGGACTGAACTTAAGAATGCATTTTGACAAAGAACAAGGACTGTAAATTTCATTGGAATCATTTAAAGGTTCATTGTGTAACATTTAGGAGGATCTATTGGCAGAAATGGAATATAATATTAATAGGTATGTTTTAATTAGCGAATAATCAGCTGAAAATGAGAACTGTTGTATTTTCGTTACCATGGAATGAGGCATTTTTATCTACAGAGGTAGTGGGTCCTCTTTTACAGAGTTATGTTGAATCAACATGTTTCTCTAGTAGTCCAGAACGAAAAAAACAAACACTGGCTCTAGATAAGAACAGGGTTTTTTTAAGCCATGGTAGTTTCTCCTAAACATGCTTGGAATGGGTGTGACGAGGGGTTGTAATCTGCAACTACACCGCTAGATGCCACTAAACCCTACACACTAGTCCTTTAACGTCATTAGCATCTTGTTTATGTTGTTCTAGACCTAACATCCATCGTAATTGACATTTGATTCTAAAAACCCCTGTTCTGTGTAGTCTACATTGAAAATAACTTTTATTATGACTTTTTCCGAAACACTTGGTTTAGGCAAGCGGTTTCAGCTAGATGCAATCTAATCATCTTCATTAACATTCATCAAATAGCATTTAGTCAGAGTCCTGTTCCTTACGGGTTTGGAGAGACACCTGTTCCTGTAACATCACAGAAATTTAGAGAAAGTCAATATCAGCCGCCAATCCTGACACCAAGATAACTTTTTCATAAACTCCTTTGGCTTTGGAGTTAAAAGTAAGCTGCAAAATTGTGCTTACCTTTTGTAAATGAGCCCCCTGGCCTCTCATCACACTGAGCCAGAGGCTAACGTTACTGCAAGGCCTCAGCATTTAAATATTAACTGAGCTACTGGAAGAGGGAGGGTGAGTGGGGGCTAACCCTGACTTCTCACAAGTGTTGTGCAACGTTAATATATACTAATGCAGATTTTACAAAAGAAATAACTAATTCTATGTACAAAGGTATATGCGGGGGCTTGAGCAGCGGCAGTGATGCAGACAGTCAAGTGAGGAAGAGGAAAACGACACATAGAGGTGAGAGAATGGGGGGTGGGGCGGGGAAGGGGGTGGGTAGACTCACCTCGGGGACATTTCTCTTGAACTCCCTGCTCAGCTCTACCAGGTGCTTGTGGGAATGTTCGCTCTCCTCTTGTCGACCAGCCAGCTCAGATGCTACAGAGTTTAGCTCCCTCTACAAAACACACAAAAGAGAGAGAAACGGTGAGAGGAAGAGAGTGGAGAGAGACGGCACTTTAGGGAGCCTGCCAACGCTCATCCAGTAAAGCTTAGAGTGTACATAAATAAAAATACACTGCTGAATATTAACAATGTAATCCTTCATGATCTCACAGCAGTAATACTTACAGCTAGCCCTGGCCCATAAATAATTAAGCCAAAATAAATCCAATGCCTACAGTAGCAGAAGGCCTTTTAGATAATCAGTATTTGAAATAATCAATACACTTGCAACGGCTATAGAGCGCCAGTGAGGGAGTGGGACGAGAGGGAGGGGGTAGAGAGTGAGAGAGAGAAAGAAAGAGAGAGAGAGAGAGAAATTGGGGGGGGGGGGTCACGTGGAGAGACCCAATAACCTGACAAACACCCTTGCAAACAAATAGGGCTTCTTCCTGAAATGAAAGGCTGTTTTTTAAGCCAGGCCAAGACCTGATTCAAACATACAAACGCCTCGCCTGCTGTCGTAATTACCACAGGTCAGATCTATTTTCAGCCTCTTTTCAATCTCTCTCCCATAGCCTGCACCAATCTTTATATTGATCCGCACAGATTTCCAATACATGACAGCAGCCTCCATAGCTTTAACCAAATTACCCTTTTGCTACAACAACAGCCCTAATCGCTATTCCATTAATGTCTCTGCACATTTCATCTTTACATGTCTGTGTCATACGGAATGAGAGCTCCACCCCGGCAACGCGTCTGATCCACTATTCAAAGCTGTCCGTGTAGCAGGCCCTTCATCAGAACCTTGCATTCATGCTGGACTCAGCTGCACCACATGCCATCCGCAAATCCGATATTATCGATCAGTCATCCAATTCCCGGCTCTTTCAGCAAACAGGGGGAAAAAAAGGAAAAACAGATTCAAACTCTACTCTCCTATACTGAGCAGTGCTGGAACAGACAACTGTACATTCACCTCCTCTTCATTTTGACTGTGATCCTCATCTTCTCTTGTAACTGCTGGGTTACAATATAAAAGTGGAGTAGGGGATTCAATTACCACTGCGAATTTATATATGACGCCGGGAAATTAAATTGACTGTGTTTTAATTAATCTGCAGTCTTACTTAAAGGCAATTTAATAAATCATCACGCAAGGAAAAAAAAAGAGAAAAATGGAAGGGTGAAACTTCAACAGTGGTGGCCTCGTGGGATGGTGGCAGCCCGTCGGTCAGAGAAGTAGGCTGTTAATTGAAGGGCTGCTGGTTCAAGTCCCTGGATTGACGAGTCAGGAAGTGGCTAAAGTAGAACTCAATGTACCGTCTCAGGTAGGATGCTACACTAAAACACCACAACTTTCCAATGTGTCTGTGAGCAAGGCATCTCACCTATATGACCTTGGCAGTAAAAAGTTAGCTGTGACACTGTGCTGCTTGCGAGCAGTAATAGACCTTTTTCACAGCATCAAATAGTAGGTGGTTACCAATGATACTAATTAAGGTTCAGTTCCATTTAGTGTTGCAACATGCACAATAGCAGCACCCTGACTCTGTTTGACCTGAATGCAACCTCAATTAGTATCATCGCTAACACGTGTGTTTACCCTACTATTTCATATCAAAATGGCTGCTGTGAAAAAGATCTATAGCAAGTAACATATTTGTACTGGTAATAATATATTAATGAAGTTCAGAGAAATGAAACATTTCCAACAAGTCCTCTAAAAGTGACACAATGTAAATTTGTCATGGCCATCAAAAATGGTATTTGAGTGTTTCTGATCTGGCAACCCATCGGCAGGATGGAATGATTTGTCAGTGCATTACAAGACCAGCTAGTAAAGGTCAGGGAAGGATTGTGGTCATGGTAAAAAAGTAATCAACATTTAGTCTTGGCAGGAGATGGGATGCTAACTGATTTCCAATGTCAAAGTCAGACACCTTTCTCGCCCGCCCATCCGTTACTGCTGCACTATAACGAATAAAGCTACTTTCACCCTTTCTTTTCTAACAGTCATTATGTGCACAGCCACAAGAGGTCACTTGTCTAAAAAATATAAACACAAGTGGATTTAAAGTACAAGACATGGCATTAATCTATCATTTTGTTACTGTCAACAAATTCAATGAGGTGCCCAAACCAACCCGCGTGTTAGTCTCTCAATACTTTCTGACTTCCCTACCCTGTCTGTGGCACTTTTCGTTCCTGCTGCAGATGTTAATCTTTACAAAATGGGTCACAAATATATACTTACTTTTAAAAAAAAAGGGTTCAGTATTTTCCTAAAACAGCTGGGTCCTCTACTTTTTAGAAAACCTTACACAAAAATGTATAACAAGAGCATTAGATAAGAACAATTTTCAACCACGGATTGATACACATTTGATACAATGGTGAGTATTTACAGCAACAGGACGGTGTATGTGAAATTGATTCAAAATAAACTACAGTGTCTGTGTTCATCATGATGAAGTAACATGTCATCCAGAATAGTTTTCAGAAATATGCTTATATTTGCTCTTTATGGTCAGGCCAGTGCCTTGCACAGTAGTGGGTGAATAAGCAACAAAAGCACTTTGGATAAAAGCTCTATACAAACGCAGCATTTTACCAATACTAGTGTATTTCTGGTGAGGACGGTCTCACCAAGCCTTAGACACTGCATGCCCCGTCATATATTTGTTACAAAGACAGACAATACATTTTCAAAGATCTGGTTACTTGCTGCTCCTCTCCTTTAAAAATCACAAGTTCCATACTCGCTAGGTATCCAAATGTTTAGGATACATTAATGTGTCAGTGCTGGTAAATCATACTGTCACTGAAAAAGGCCATGGCTGTACAGGATAAGGCGACAGGACTTTATAAATTCCTGTTAGTCCTTACAGTCCATCTGGGATGAGCCTTCCTGGAGATTAGAGAGTGGGCTTTCAGAAGCTGGCCAACCTCCACTAGATTCAAATGGCCCCAGACCGGCTAATCTTGCCAAAAGAAAATTCCTCTAGAAGTGACTTTGAGTGGATTTTATAAGTACTAAAGATATAACAGTGTGGTGATTCTAAGTCCGCCAGTGCTTCAGTGGCCTTGGTGTAGAGCTGGGTTCACTTTTTTTATTGCAGTTCAGCTGATGAGAATGGCGAGTACTCATGCTGTATGCAAGTCAAACAGCGCTATTATAATGGCATGGTTATTTTGAAAGCCCCCCCACAGTTCCTAGACCATTACGAGGGAGGGGAGCCTGGGCAACAGCCCATCAAATGAAACCTACTGTCTGTCTTTCTGGAAGGAAGTGAAGCAGAACAGACTGTTTGCTACTTTGGTTGTCTTGCTCAGATTGATGATGGGAAGAACTCCACAATGTAGTGTTTCGCAATGCTATCTCAGGAGACAATAGATACTAAAGAAGATTTCTCCTCTGCCTCCTAATCAGATGTGATCCATTTCAACCTACAACCAGGGCACCTTTGAGATCCCTGATAAAATTCACTTATCTGCCTCCATTATGTCGAGCGCCATCCTTCACAAAATGATTTGCATGAACATGTAGATGTTTCTGATGACTTGAGCACTTAAAAGGGGGAAAAGCCGAGTTCAACTCGCTGTGCAAAGAGTGTGACAGTAATCATTTGACAGGTTTTAAAAAAGACGATTGGGACCAAATTTTCAGTGTGTGGCAGTCAGGTCAATACAGAGCTCCTGTCATTAAGCCTCTGCCAGTCAAACATCCAGCCATAATTGATGAGTTTCCCCTGGGGAGGGCGGAGCTGTCATTGGGGCTGGAGGGACAGCAAAGAGGGATTTTGAGCATGGAACCAGTCCGGGCGTGCTCAAGTAAATCTGGTAGGGGAAAGCAATCTTGGTGACTTGTGACTCAAAAACAAAGACCAAGAAGCAAGAAGTTTATTGGCTTTAAAGGGACAGACCTGCAGCCTATTGGCAGTCAGTAAATGCACTTGAAGCTCAATGAACTGCTGAACACCAGGGGAAAAAAACATGACTCACATGTCTTTGGCTTACAAATGTAGGCTGTGCCCTTCTGACACTGACCAAAGATGGACCCTATCAGCATCTGTAGTGGAGCCCTCGCATGATCTGACAGGCAGCCTTATATATATATTATATATATATATATATATATATATATATATATATATATATATATATATATACACTGCATTAAGAGGTCTCAGGTTTATGCAAGTGTGTTGCAGCAAAGACTGCAGGGAGTGGTCCCTTCAGACTCTATTGGTTGAGGGATAAACCGGGAAAGAGAAATGGAGGCCAGCAGTGGCAACAAATCTGTAGAAAGACAAAGCACTGAGGATTATGACATAAGCTGGTTGTCAAGTATGTTGTGTTTTCATTTAAATGATGGCAGGCAAGTTATGTCTATTGTAGCAAACAGAGGGTAAAAAGTCTAATAATCAAATCCAGCAAAGACAATGCTCTTGACAAAAACTGGAGCAGAGAGATGTACTGTAACAATCTGTGCAAGTGTGAATGTTTTAGGTAAAATGCGTGGCTCACTAATGTATTGTGTTGGAGTAGATTTGACATTGATTCATTAAACCTAGCTTGTCTTGATTACATCTGTAGCGGTAAGCTATTTTCTGGCCTTTCACAAAGACAACCCATGGTGGAAAATGTTGACAAGTAGGGAAAAAAACTACCTAGGTACTGCAATGAGGTAGACTGAGTCAAAATCACTATTGTGTGCAGTGGGCTTGGACAGCACAAATTAAAGAGGAAAAAATAGGGAGGAGGAGGAGAGAGGGGAAAATGCAGATGGGGTATTATTTTTCTTTTTGTATCCCATCTAATTGCAATCATAGGCAGATGTCTGAAAGTGTGACAGCATCAGCAGAATTGCTGCTGAGAGCACAGAATCTTTGTCTAAAAATAATCAGACATTCTGTGTGCTGCTGTTTGTTATAATGGTAATCGATGCTGGAGGCTTTGAATTCCATCAATTTATAGATCCACTCTGTTCTGCCTGGTGACTGTACTGCC